TACAAAGAAAGAAAAACATAGGAAAATATGGCTACTTGAATGGACACTCTGAACATGATTATAGTGGGGTAGAGAAAGACCTATTTCCTAAGGGGAGAATACCTTAGATCTCAGAAGGCATGAGGATTATCTATGACTTGCTTTAAGAACTGTCTCAGAAATCCTCCACAAGAAAACTGCCATATAGATGTCTAAAACTGCATCAAGAGCCTTAGAAGTACCTGACTGTTGGCTGTAGTATTCCTTACCAGGTAGCTCTCTCAGACAGGCTACCAGAGATGAAGGGGAGCTGCACCAGCACCTGAGTGTTCCCCCACTCACCCATCCATACAACAGGACAAACATCTCCTAACGTCCTCCTCACTCTTCTGAGTTAACGAATGGGCTGACAATTGTATACAGATGATGGCTTGAAAAACGAGACAGATTGGATGAACTGCATTCGGTTCACAATCCAAGTCAAATTACTGAGTTGGGAGCCCTAAACTAAAACACTCAGCTGGAAAGAGATGTTGAGGGCAATGCTAACCTCTATTGTGAACGATTATGTACATCTTAAGTGCTTTGCCTGCAAATTGTAAACTTTTCTTTTCACTAATGGAAATACAATGATGCATTAGGGCAATCTATGCTGATTTCTCCAGTGGCATAGTTTAAAGTTGTTTCCCTTTGATATATATTTTATTTTTTTTAAATATAAAATGCCAAGGGAAGAAATCTATATGAAATAAACATTGATGATCCTTCGGGAAATGATGCTCTTGAGTCTCACAGTCTCACGAGACTTCTTCATTATCTTTAGATATTTTCATTAGGGGACAGAAAACATAAACACTCCAAAGGGTCAGGATTGACTGATTTTATATGGCAGTGTGGGTGATCCGTAGAAAAAGATTCAGTACACAAATAGGTAAATGAGAATAAATGGAGAACTTATTACACTAGTCTAGCTGCAATCAATGAGGTAACTAAAGCATTTCCAAGAGTGACACTGATAGGTGAGGTAAACAGGCAAAGACCGGCAGTAGAATGAGAAACACTGGCATGGAAATGGAGTTTCTGTGAGCTTAGACCAGTGTGATACTAAAAGAGTTACATATGGATATCAAGGGATCTTTCTCTAGATAATCTTGTGTCTATACCACCTTGTGGGAGACACATGGTATGTGTATTTGTCTCAGGTATATGTGTTCATTTGAAACTTTTTTGGGTATACTTCTTCTAGATGAAAATAATTAAGATTTGCAAATGTTAAAGATAGTATTCTCTGCTAAATATATATTTCACTTACATTTGTTCTATTTTTGACATTAATATATTTAACCTTTTCTTTTTCTACCTTCTAGATTGTGATTGAGGGGGAGTGGTGAAATTAGAGCATGGAATACCAGGAGAATTTAGGTCTGAAAATATTTTTCATTTAGAAACTTATCTGATATTCACAATAGTTAACGCAACTCAGCCAACTGCATTTATAGTCCTGCCTTATAAATCTTAATTTTTTACAGGGTATGTGGAGGGATAGTTGGTCTGTGTTTCTTGCAGTTGAACAAAGGAATGCTTAGACATCATAAACTTGTAGTTCATGCATTTTAGATACATACATTCCTATAATTGTTGCCATTAAGGTAATTGCAAAAATGAGAAAATTCTTATAACACATTGCCTCAGAATTATCTGAACGTGAAAAGAATGTCCAATAAAACTAACAGCAATTTTTCACTCATGTATGCATATATTACTAACATTATCAATGGACATGGACTTAACAAAAGACCTTTACTTTTTTTTAAAGAAATTATATTTGTGCCCTTCTCTTCTAGGAATATTTTGTCTCATTTTATTTTTTACCTCTAAGATCTATTTTTTACTATTAATTTCCTTTTGTAAACTTCTCCAGGTATTATTTGAAATAAGTCCACCCTTCCCTTCCTTCCTTCCCTTCTTTCTATTCTTCTATTTTTCAGCCCAGGACCTTCACACTGAGGAATAAAATTCAGGCCATTCACTCTGAGCTACATTTTCAGTGCCTTGTATTATTTTTTATTTTGAGACAGAGTTTCTCCAAGTTCCTAAATTCCCTGGCTGGGCTCCTGCCTCAACACTCCAGAGTGCTGAGAGGACGACTGTGTGCACCATGTCCATCCAGCTTCTGTGTATCTTTTCTTAATAATAATGAATGTATTTGAAGTTACAAATAATTATGTTGATATCCCCAAGACAGAAGACATTGTCCTATAATGCCAATCCCTTCAGGCAAACACAATTATTTTGTGTTTGATGATGATTCAGAGTGATGATTCAGATGTTCAGAGTGTCCATTCAAGGAGCCATATTTTCTTTTTTTTTTTTTTTGTTATTGCCATTTTTAACAGCTTGAAAGTGTGCTTTAAACAAATTTTATTGTACAATTTAAACTGCAGATGAAAAATTTTGCTTTTACATTTCAAAAAATAGAAATTAGTATACAAAATCCAGATTAACAAATTTGAGTAGGTACTATCACCTCAAAGGGAGGCACATTATGAAATTTTGTTAGAAGAAATCAGATTTTTCAGTACATGATGGAATTTCTGTGTTTCTTTTTTTTTTAATTTTAAAGATAAAAGGAGGGAAACATCAACAGACATACAACATTTTACAACATATCACAAGCACAATACAGACAATACAGAGTTACAAAACAAAGTGGTAGGGAATTAACAATGGTGGTTGTATTACATATTGATATCTTCAAAGTGACTTCTCATGAAAACAGATATAAACATGCAATACTGGTCAACCAAAGACTCATTGACAGTTTCTTTCAGCATAGAAATAGAAGACAGAAGAACAACCATGTTATCTATCCTGTATATACATACATACAAAATTTCTCCTTCGTTCCCTTCTCTTTTCCCACATCCCAGAAGCCCTTTACTCTTCAGTGGTTTCCTCATTTCACAGTGTCTATCATACCTCCGAGTTTAAATTAACTCTTTCAAGTTTTACACTAGTGACACAATGTGGTGCTTGCACATGTATGTTTGATTTATTTCACTTATGAGTATGGTTTCTAGTTGTGACCATTTAAATATAAAGGCCTTGAGTTTATCTTTCTTTACAGCTGAGTAATATTCCATTATATAAAAGTACCATAATTTTCTTATCCAATCCTCGGTGGATGGACATTTGGGTTGTTTCCACATTTTAGCAATTACAAATTGTGCTGCTATGAGCATAGGTGCACATATATCACTGTGATATGATGTTTTTAGATCTTCTGGGAAAATACCCAGCAGGGGGATAGCTGGGTTGAATGGGACCTCTAAACCTAGTTTTCGGAGGAATCTCCAAACTGATTTCCACAGTGGTGTCACCAGTCTGCATTCCCACCAGCAGTGGAGAAGGGTTCCTATTTCTCCACAGCCTCGCCAGCATTTGTTATTGGTTGATTTCTTAATGCTAGCCATTCTTACTGGGGTAAGGTGGAATCTCAGTGTTGTTTTAATTTAAGGAGCCATATTTTCATATGTTTTTCTTTTTTTGTGTTTCCTATCATATCCTTCTTGTACCTTTGATCAGTTAAATGAAAGACAAAGATATTTTCATAAATATTAAGTACAAATAAATTTGAATAATATATGCCTCAAAACAGGAAATTTTCTATAGATATCTCATGAATCTTAATACTAGATTTCTAGTGTATTTGTAATTTAAATTTCTTAATTTTGTTGTCTAAATATCTGTTGAATATAAAGAAGAACTACCTATTTGTTAGCATCTCTTTAACTGCATGTCAGCTGGAAACTTCAATATTCTTGGGATAGGGAAAATATGTCACCTAAAATTTGTGTCAATGCTATTCTGTAGTTTCCTCATGCTTTCCAAGTATATCCAATACTCATGTTTAGCCACTGATTTAAAACCTTTATGTTTCAATCTCTACAGACAACAAACCAGAAAGTAACAAAAAGAACTAGAAGCACTGGGAAAGAAGTTTTATTACTGCATATTTCTCCCTTAATATATTTAATTCTGATGTATGTCTATTGAATCTTCCTTTAACTTTTCCACCAAGCTAATTTTCCCATGTCTAAATGTCCTACTAATCACTCCAGGAGTCCATGCATCTTAATCTGTACTTCTTCCACCTCATACAATTTCTCCACACATATCTATGTATCTCTCTTTGTTTCTCTCTCCCTGTAGCACACTACTAAATGTACTTAGTCCATTCTCACAACCAAAACCCCAGAGAAGAACTGTAGTGACTGACTGAACCTAATGATGTTATCAGACACTTTTTGGCATTTGGTGATGTGGTACCAGGTGGAAAAGTGGATGCGACAATAGAGGCTGAAGCAGTAGAAATGTAGTAAGAGTAACTGAAATTATATGCAATGCTGGACTTTCACTGATTTGCAATTTTGTCTTAGTCATACAAGCAAATGAGACAGGAATCTGGTGTTTGAGCTTAATTAGGTGAATAAAATGGGAAAGTTTTCTACCCTGAAAAATCAGGGCTCTGCGGTGTGTGTGTGGAGTGTGTGTGTGTGTGTGTGTGTGTGTGTGGAGTGTGTGGTTTTTTTTATTGTGTTCAATGTGGACTGATGTTTTCAAGTAATCACAGTCCATTTGTTTTTAATGCAAATATTTCTATTTTATGCAATTAAATCTTTTTAATTGATCAGAAAAATGATATATCCTACGGTATATCTTTTTTCTTGTGCATTATCAAGAAAGAAAAATAAATTTATTTTCAGATTATTCTGTTTATGTCTTATTTTTTCATAAAAGGGGAAAATTACTAACACTATATTGATTATTCTCCAGGTGAATTGCGAATTAACATTTTACTTCCTTGTCCAGATAGTCTCAAAATATGATCGTTCTTCCTGAAGCACCACTCTATTATTGTTAACATTAGCTTTGACACTAGTTATCACCATTATTTTTCTGTAGAGATTCTGTAACTTATTTACTTTTCTCTTCAGACCTGATAAACTCAGAGGATTATAATGGGAAATTATACAAGAGTGACAGTGTTCATCTTGGCAGGCTTGACAGATCACCCAGAATTAAAAGTTGTATTATTTACCTCCCTGCTTCTTACCTATTTGCTCAGCATCACAGGCAATCTCACAATCATCACACTCACCCTGGTGGACCTTCACCTAAAGACTCCCATGTATTTTTTCCTTCGGAATTTTTCTTTCTTAGAAATTTCCTATACTACCACATGCATCCCTAAGTTGCTAGTTACTATGGGAAGTGCAGACAAAACTATTTCCTATGACAGTGTGTTACTGAAGTGTTTTTTGTCATCCTACTCAGAGCATCAGAGTTTTACTTGCTGGCAGCCATGTCCTATGACCGCTATGTGGCCATCTGCAAGCCCCTGCGTTACACAACCGTCATGAGCAGCAAAATCTGCACAGGGCTTGTCCTCAGTTGTTGGCTTGCTGGCTTTTTTGTCATCTTTCCACCACTGCTCTTAGGCCTAAATCTTGAATTCTGTGCCTCCAACGTTGTGGATCATTTCTTCTGTGACACCACTCCCCTCCTGCAGATCTCCTGCACAGACACACACCTCCTGGAGATGATGGGGTTCGTCTCAGCTTTGCTTACACTCTTAGTCACACTGTTAATGGTGATCATATCCTACGCATTTATTACCCTAGCAATTTTCAAAATCCCTTCAACGAGTCAGAGGAAGAAGGCATTTTCCACATGTTCTTCTCACATGATCGTCATTTCTCTTTCTTATGGCAGCTGCTTGTTTATGTATATGAAACCGTCAGTCAAACAAAGAATATCTATTGCCAAAAGCATTGCAGTTCTCAATACCTCCGTGGCTCCACTTTTGAACCCTTTTATCTATACCTTGCGGAATCAACAAGTGAAAAAAGCTTTTGTTACTATGATACATAGGGTTGTCACTTTCTTAAGCAAATGAATATTTTGTTTCATTGTACAGCAGAAATGAATGAAGTCTCCACAATGTTAACACTTTCTCTGACATCCTTCCTTTTCTTTTTTCTTTTAGTGCTTGATACTTTGATTTTCATCTTTACATATTTATGAATATGTTTAAAAGAATAGACAGTCTAATGAAAGCAATTTTCTTTTTATTCTTCACTAAACATTTTGATGTTATTTTCCCATTTATTATCTTCTTTTCCCTGTAGACATCTTAAAACTTTAAGCACTGTTTTCAGTATGTGTCCTTTGCCATTTAAAAGTTCCAGTTAGTCATAATTGTAAATTAATTTTGATTGAACTTACATTTTTGTGTATCATGCAAAATTATTATACTACCCTGTATTTGTGGTACATCACAAACTAAAGCTGTGTATTTATATTTTGATTATATTGCCTATTTCACTGGAGGTGAACTTGTGGCACATGTGCTGTTGGGGGCTCTTTGTGTCATTGAAAACTCTGTAAGTTTCACCATCACTGGCCTATTTATTTGTGTATATTACATTCAAACAAGTGAAAATAAAGTGTAAAAAATTTAATCATTACTTTGCTACTCATATTTGAAAGTATATATTCAACAGAAATTGTTAGCTTTAAAACATATTTAATGGCAAACATTCATTTATTTTCTATATGAGAGAGCACATTACAAATAATTAAATTTTAAAGAAAATGTGTTAATGTAATTGGCTTAATTTGAAAATTAATAATGAAATACTTAACTGATTTTTTTTTTTTTTTTTGGTTTTTCTCTGGTACCGGGAACCAAACTCACGACCTTGCGCTTGCCAGGCAGGCACTTTGCCGCTGAGCTAAATCCCCAGCCCCTTAATTGATGTTTTTAAACCCCTGAAATTCCTCAGATAACATTGGGGTACTACTGAAACTAATTGAAAGCAATATTTGAATGATTATTAGAGAAAAAAGAAAGATAATATTTGTATGTATTCCTTTCAAGAATAATTTATCTGATATATATATGATATCATCATGTTTATTTTACATATATATGTGTGTATTTCTGTCTGTGTATGTGTGTATAGATATGTATAGGCATACACAATTATAGATATACCTGCTACTCAAAAAACCAGGAAAGTGAAAAAATCAAATTCTTCCCTTCACAAGATTCTCTGTCAGTAGGTCAGTATTAATTTTATGGTGTAATAAGGAGTGTATAACATTAAATTGAATAAAATATTTTTGCAATAATATACTCTATTTCATGAGTGTTTTTTAAAAATGTGCGAATAAGACATGGTGGTTTTTTTTTTTTTTTTGGATCTGCAAATCTTGATGTAAAGAAGTTATTTTATAAATTAATGTTTAAATAGAGAGAATAAAATAGACCCAAAGAAAAACATAGCCTATCATATGTAACTAGCAAATTATACATGTTTCAGTAGAATTGTTTGAAAGTATTATTTTATTTTATTTTTTT